CTTCAGGAGACTCAGTGAATGAACATATAATATTACATCATACCAAAAATCAAGTCTGTGTAAATCTGCTCAGTTTTCATATTGACAACCTACTGCAAGTGAATATTAAATAAATGAGATAACATTTTATTTCTAAAGAGTAAAAGATTGAAATGGTGTGCTAATTATGATAATGGCTTATTTCTTTTCCTTCTATTTTTATTTTTTTGCATTTTATTTTAAATAGTGTAATTATTAGAGGTTTGTGACTCTGAAGACTTGTTAGCATTGCTTCTTATTTTATTCTTATCTCTCTAAAACAAGAAAGAGGACTCAGAGTCCTATATTCAGTTCATATTCCCAGCAAAAGACTGTATGTTTCCTAGATTGTAGGCCAAAAGAATACCTCAAATTTTAACCTAACCTAGCCAACATCAATCCCATTAATCCAAATTAAAGATACTTATTTTTCTTGGAGAAGCTAAGCCTAGCTTTCTGGAAGGTATAGCTACTTAATTATTTCAAACTGGGACGTTTCTGTTATTAATGTCTATTAAAACATAGAAATAATTGACATCCAGCAACTAATTTTTGGCATCTTCCCTGTCTCCTCTCTATGCAACCCCAAATCTTGAGTTTTCTATGTATTGGGAACATTAAAACATTTTTATCCTGATTATCCAGATGCATATTTGCTGGTGTGTTTATGGAACCTTCTCTTTTTGAAAGGTCTTTTGATGCAAATCTCTTGTTTTCTTACCCATCTCTGTAATATTGGAAAGGAATATATGTCTATTGATTGCAGCCAATATTTAGTGGCCAGTGTTTCAATTGTCAAAGATGTTAGATAAAATGCAACTAACCCATAGAAAGAACAGTGTTAAGCAGTGCTTTTTTTCTAAAAAAAAAAAAAAAAAGGTGCCGGAACTCACACACATCATACAACCTGCCTTGCCTACCCTACAAGGTTCCATCCAAAAAAGGTGCCGGAACTCCATTCTGGGCGTTCTATGAGAAAAAAAGCCCTGGTGTTAAGTATTCTGTATTAAAACTGAAATCTAATCTACAATGCTTTTCTAATATGCTTTTTTAATAACACAAGTGGAACGTTGTTGTCCATAGCTCAAATGATGTTGGTGGGACAAGGGTAATATTCTAACCAAATATTCATCAGTTATGGCTATTTCCAGAAGATCCATCTACAGTAGAATATGCACCAGTATAAGAATGCACACATTGGGGGAGGGGGGGGAATATAGGCTACATTCCTACAACTGATAAGGGACAAGGCAAAGAAGGGAACGAAACCAGGACAAACTAATGGCTTAAATTGATTAAATTCAAATTGATTAAGCATCAGTATTATTATTTCCTGTTAATATTTAATATTTTTTTTGTTTATCACATTAAAAGTTATAATGTGAAGCAAGCTTTGGAAATATTCCAGAAATTGGTGTGTGTAATATTGCTCCTCGACTTGATTATACGTACTTCATTAATCAAATTATCCTTTGTTTTCACATGATTTAGTTGGACTTCTGGAATCCTTTGAATTTTTATAAGTTTTTCAACAGTCAATATGGAATTAGAAGGAGCAATGAAGTATTGTAGAATGCTGAAGTTTATTAGCGTTATGATCAATTCCTTGTAAAAATAATGGAACTTATTAAGACTGAGAATCTTAAAAATAGTATTGTCCCACATTAAAGCTACGTTTAATTAGATGCTTCCTATGGAATCTACCATAAGAATTGGTTGATGCAATCTTCATGTAGTAAATGCAAACATTAGTGTGATTCAGAATTATCCTATTGATCAGCCAATCAATACAACTGTGTAGTACACTTACAATATTCACATTTTTCAAATCTTCATTCAGAAATCTGTGCTTTTATTCAGAACTTTTCTGGAGGAAAAGAAAAGCATGTTGAAACTAACCTCTAAGCCCCAGTGTCTGGCAGGATGTGGAAGAGGGAAAAAGCAATCTGATCCACCCTGCCCTTTGGGAATATCTTGCGCATGTCTTTACAAACAGGTTTGTACAAGCTGCAAGCATATGGGCTGTTCGGCTATGGAACGGCCTTCCAGGCATGTAGACTTTTTGTGGAGCAGAACAACACTGGGGGCAGGAGGGTAGCTTTTGAAGGTTACGTTTGTGTTGGCTGCACTCCTGGCTTAGAGAGAGGAAAGGCAATACCCTAAGGCTATTTCTGGGTGGTGGTAGTTTCAGCTTGAAGACATGTAACTGCTTGAGACGAGCACATTTTTGTATGGTGTTTTGTGTGGGTTTCCCTCCCCCCCTTGTTCTGGAACTCCTATTAATTTTTTGGTGATTATTTTTAAACCTTTGGCATAGAGTTATATCCAATCTCTCCTCTTCCCATAAAGCTTTTAAAAAGGAATTGCATAATTTGGATTTTTTTTTTTCTTTAGAAAGCAGAATTAAACGTAAGGGCTAGCCTGCACTGATGCTTTATTGTTTTCAACTAAAACCCTAGGCCTTTTCTTCTGGTTTAAATATTGACGGTACTGCTATAGATTGCCCTTGCTAGGAACATATATTTTGTCAACTGTCATAAGGATCCAGGGACAAAATTGCAAGTTAGAGCAAAGATTATATCCAACCTATGAAATGTTGAGCACAGTTTTATTATAGGCAAAAATTCTAAGGCCAGATTATATTTGGAAGATGTGCTGAAATAAGAACGTTGGACAGGAAAGTGAATTATAAACCTAATTTCTAATTAAAGGCTTAATTTACAAACTGAAATTCAGTGACAAAAATGTAACATTAGAGTAAGAAAGATTATCTCCTGTCAAGTATTATGCTGTGAATTAGATTTTGCCAGAATCTCAGCTGAGTGCTTATTTGGTAAACTATATGTATGAGGCCCCATTATGACTCCATTTTGCCTATATCTGTATTAAAAAGGCTTTCTTCAAGAGGTTTGAAAGTCAATATCATTAGCTTTCAGTCTACGAATGGTATCATGAGGGGTCCTTAGTGCTCTCTGAGGTAGGTTGTTTTCTTGCAGATGCTTCATTACCCAAATTAGGTAACATTATCAGTGCTCATCATCATCATCATCATCATGAGCATTGATGATGTTACCTGGTTTGGGTAATGAAACATCTGCAAGAAACAACTAAGGTCTGAGAGCACCAAGGACCTCTTACCTCAATCCTGAGCTACAAATATTCTCCTTTATTGAATGGTATCATCATATAGAAAAAAAACAAGTTACAGCTGGTAAATGTTGATATTAATAGTTTGTCATGTTCTGCAAATGCTATCAAAACTTAGTTATTTGGAGTTTACTAGCCAGAAACATAGATGAATGGCAGCTTGGGGAATGAGCTGCTTTGAATTAAACACAGACATTTTGGAGTGCCACTAAATGAAAAGATGTAATAAAAACTTGATATACCATACTCATCCTCCTGCTTTAGATTCATTCACCCAGAAGTTTACCTTCTGTGGGGAATTTTGCAGGGAACATTGTCAGTTCAGGTGTGGAAGAGCTTTTAATGTTGTCATTACATGCCTAAAGCTGTTTCTTTCCTCCTGAAATCTATTGGTTTACCATAGTAACTTCTCAAACTTTATCTTCTTGTTTTTCACAGTTTAAGAAGACCATGAATTCTTTTGAATTTCTTTTCAAATTTACCATTAATTCTTTTGAAATATCACTCTGATAGTGATTTCATAGCGAGCCTGGCTGAAATAATGGGCAATTGTTCACCCATGTTTTGCAAGCTGCTAATAACCACCAAACAGCTTTTACCAACAGTGTTTAAGGAAGCCATTAGTCCAGACATGTCAAACTCGTGACGTCATGTGACATCGCGCAATGTATCCGGACGGTTTTGCCATTGCTGGCAGTGGGGTGGGCGTATCTTCTGGATGACGCATCCGGCTGCGGGCTGGCAGTTTGACACCCCTGCACTAGTCCAACGTCTAGTCATACTTATGTGTTGTCTGCAGTGGTGGGATTCAAATACCTGAACAACTGGTTCTCTGCGTGAATGCAGGCCTGGGCCTCTGAGGCCTAGAACAGACTTCCGGAAGTGACATCCACACACTTCCTGTGGGCCGTTCTAGGCCTGGGAGGCCTCCTCCAGGTCTTCTTGGCCTAGAATTGACTTCTAGAAGCAGCATGGGTTCAGCCGCTTCTCCGAACTCAACAACATTTAACTACTGGTTCTGCCGAACTGGTGCGAACCAGCTGAATCCCACCACCCATTGTCTGTAATACTGCCTGCTTCAGCAAGTTTGAATACCACGACTTTTGCAAAGTCAGGGAGTGAACAGTGACCATCACCTCAACCATCATGTTAGTCATGCTTTATGTTGCCATTCTGTTTATTGATTAGGATGGCTTGATAAATTCATTTCATAATACTTTTCACTCTTTTTTATTGACGTTGAAACTTGAAGTATTGTTTTTTGAGTAACTTTTCAGTAATATACAAATCAAAATCACATTTCTGGGCACAAGAAGCATGTGTCTCAGGTTTTAGAGATGAAATTACAGTCCTAAAGATTTAAATATATATATATTCCTTTTTCCTCTGCAATATGCTGAGTTACTGTCCCAGCCCCATGAAAGTGACTGGTACTTTGGTTGATTTTGTTGTTACATGCACTAAAAATAGTTTTAAAAAAATATAATACCAATGGAAAAAGCTTTTTGATTGTTCTTAGTGTTCTCTTCTAGCTTTTCCCTCTTCTATTCCCAATAGAAAGTCTTTAATACATATTTTTTTTCTAAATGATGTTGCATGTGAAATTGGGAATTTTACTCTGTTCTCATAATAAACAGTCATTTCATGTGAGGTTCTCCCCTCCCTTTTGGTGGATTCCAAAGCCTTTGTACCTTTCCTGGTTACTGATTGATGGTTCTGTACTATGTTTCCTTTAATTTTGCAATAAACCAACAAGGAAGCTGAGACCACAAGTTTACAGAGGATGATTTATTTACTCAACCAGATTTGCAGGGATGACAGAGTCAGATTTAGTAGTTTCAGTGTGGTCCTGGGGAGGGCAGGAGATGTATTTGAGAAAAAAGCACCATAGAAATAACGTTCTTATTCATCCATATAGAAGCAGATTTGACTTTGTTTCTGGAGCAGTTATCTATGAGAAACTGAAGGGGTACAGGATTACACAAAGATGGACATTAACTATTAAATTACCAATTTTCATAAGTTTCAATCCCCCCCACAATATTTCTGTTAAGATATTATTATTTTTTTTGTTTCTGCACAGATAGAACAGGAAATCTGAGAACACCCTTAAAATAAACTATATATGATAAAAAAATCTGTGTCTTCAGTAATCACAGTCAAAATGATATGTCTCTGGTGTGCCAGCTTCCTTTCCAGCTCTTCCATAGAGAAATTTCCTCTGAGCTGGTATAAGCTGGTATATCCTCTGATATAAGAAGGCAGCTTGAATAGAAAGATTATGCATAAAAAGTGGTACATAAGGCTTCCTATATTATACTGCATTTTGGTGTTTTATTTCTTAAGGTGGCTGCATAACCATTAAGAAATATCAGGTTGGTTTATGAAATTAAAAATATCCAAATGAAATCAAATACCATGTAGTCCTAGATCACCAACAGACATTCTCCATGAGAAAATAAAACTTTAAGAAGAGATGTATGTTAAGCAATTGATAAAATTGCAATTTTGAGACTATTGCCCATACATACTTTAAATACAGGGCCTTTCATACTAAGGAAGGTATGTAACAGCTCAAGTAAATAAGTTTCAAATATTATTCATTGAATATTATATATATTGTAACACATTAGTCAACTCCCCTCTAGTGGATTTTATTTTTACAAAATATTTAAGCTTATAGGTGAGCTTTATAAGTCAAAATCTAATATTGAAGTGAGTAAAGTGCTTGGATACTAACTGATGTTTAAAATACGCAATATTCTGCCTTGTATGCTGTTCAGTAATTAAGCAGTGGTGTTATATACTGTATTTGGAATTTCTGAACCATCCTCAACATGGAGTTCATTCTAGTAATTTAGATCCAGGGATACAAAAGTAGGAATTATCGTAGCCAGATTATGCTGTGAACCAGATGTAGGTAAATGTAGGCCCTCTTTCCCACTGTTCTGTCCAGGACCTTCAGTGACAAGGTGCTGAAACTGTTTCAAGAAGCACTGGCAAGATAGATACCTATTTCTTTATGTGTTTGGGCAATTTTCATTTGTGTATAAAAGCTGCTGCATGAAAGTGTGAGGCCTAAGTAAAATGTTTGGGTTTGTTATTGCTGTTGTTTCAGTTCACAGTAAGGATTTCTACCCAGAGGGCATTCAAGGAAACAAAGTGAAAATGAAGTGGGAATGAAAGCATAAACTCATTGAGAAATGTTATATTTCTTCTTTTTCTGACAGAAAGAAAAATGTTTCAGATCTCCCACCTAAACATACAGTAATTTTGTAATAGAGTGGCAGAAAAAAAACCTGTATATAGATAGTCCTCAACTTTTGTCCATTTTGTTAGGATGGTTTGAAGTTACAGCAGTGTTGCAAGAAATGACTTATATGACTTACTCTCAAAGTTACAACCATCATACACACCCCTGCGGTCATGCGATTGCGATTTGGTCACTTGGCAGCCTCCTTGCATCCTGCTTCAATGGTTGAAGCATCCCGAGATCACATGATTGCAATTTGCAACCTTCCCGGCCATCTTCCGACAAGCAGAGACAATCATGTATCTTAACATCCACAGTGATTCCCTTAATGACCATGGCAAAAAAAAGGGTAGTAAAATAAGAAGCAGTGATGTGATGCCTCGCTTAATGACTACACCTCTTAATGATGAATGTTCCAGTCTCAATTGTGATAATAAGTCGAAGACAACCTGTATTGTGATTCTGAATTGATGTAGAGATAAAGAGAACACAAAGAATTACAATTAACTTGTTTTGAGAATTTGGGAAGACAAAGAACTTCAGAATTGGATGATCAGAGATACTTGGGAAAATGCAATGATTGAATACAGGCTATTCTCTGGTTTCCCAGCTTTGGTTTAATAATTTGGAAAAAGCTAAAGCTATTTGGAAATGTAATTGTTTAGTAAGTGAGTAATTTCTATATTAAATTATAATTATTTAGCTCTATATATTTGTTGGTTTTTTTTCTTATTTCTCTTTTATGCAATTTATTGGCTGTGCCAATCTGTATATACCAGGGGCTGTCAACCTTCTTCTGAAACTTTTTTTCTTGGATTTATCCATGGTTGGCCTACCGGGGGGTCAAAAAGCACAATAAATCTCCTGCCAGTAGGTGTTGGCGGTTGTGACGCATATTTTGAGTGACGGAGCCATAGCAGAGGGATGAAAGAGCCACATGCGGTTCCGGAGCCGCAGGTCGTCGACCCCTGGTATATACTATTCTTTTCCAAGGATCTTAAGGCAATGTAGATGAAATTACTTATCTTGTCCTCGTAGCAACTCTGTGGGCTGAAACAATGTGTGTAGCCCAACCAGAGAAGAGGAGAGAAAGCAAACAGAAAATGGAAGGGAGAATAGATATAACAACAAAACACATGTGTGCATACGTGTGTGTTTGTGTATACATATACAAACACATATACAAACATATACATACATATATACATACATACATACAGATACATATATTCATATTAAACCTTTTCAAGTCTCCAGCTGTAATGAAGTATTTTCTTTGTAACTGGAAACTAGCAGAAAAGGACTTGTTTAATGAAATGGACTACGAATTACAGAAATTTAGTTTAAAAAAGAAATATATAAAAGTGATGTGACATGAACAAGCATACAATGGTACAGAACTTAGTTTACATTGGAATAAATTTGAAATGACCACATCACACATGGGTTCTCTTGACATTTGTGAATAATGTAGTTAGTGTCAAACATCTGCCAATAAAAACTTTAGACCATGTCATAATGTGGCTGCACATTCTGTATATTAATCTAAAATGTTTCCTATTCCTTTTCTTCACAACTCTTACTATTTAGTCTTTATATTTCTGTTCATTTGGAACTGGTATTGGATTAGTATTATTAGTGCTTGCTTTAATATGAATCTATACTAATACTGAACCACTTTAGCAAATATTGTTATGTGAAGCCATCAATATTCTATCATGTTGAATTTACTACTGTGGTGTTGAAATATGTATTCTGGATTTGTTGTTTCTTTGCCTCTTGTAGTAATTCAAATCTCTTCTAGTAATGATGGTAGCAGGATAGAATTTATTTATAGATGACAAGTGGCCCCCAAATTGTGTTTATTACCTTTTGGATGTCCATCACTTGCCCAACAGGAAGGAAGGAAGGAAATTTGCCAAACTTTATGGGAGGCAAAGACTCTTAATTGTCACTATTAGACTGACAATGACAATGAACTCTTCATGCGTGACAAAAGGAAATAATCTGGTTAATACTGCCTGACCCCCATAAATTTGTAAAACATATAGTCTGCCTAGCTTCAATTAAGGGGCCAAACTTAACACTTTTTTATTTGTGGCAGTCAAAGACGAAGGGAATAAGCGTATCTTTATGAAACAGATACACAGTCTAAGCCTGAGTCGTCAATATCTTGAAGCTTCTTCACTAGTCCTTATAAGGCTCTCAAGAACCCTAGGAAAAGAGAGTTTTGATTCCAGATTGAATTTCAGATTTCTGTCCCAGTGCTTGATGATGAAGATGAATGGTATTTAAACTGAGATTATTATTTTATCTTTTGTCTAATTCTTTATTGTGCAAGGATGATTGAAATTACACAGATGTAGCCAAAGTTATGATAATGCTGCTTTGGAAAGCTATTGCCAGTTTCTGAGTTATACAAGGAGGAAAGGTACTGTTATGCTAATATCCTTCATCTAGCCATTGCATGGCTATCAAGTTGACTTCTGTAAGAAGACAAGTCCTGGAATCTTATGTTCTGGCAGCAACGTTGACTGGCAACAGCTTTCCAAGTTTCCAGATAGAAGTCTAACAATACTTGGATTTGACTTTGTGCTTCCTGCATTCAGAATATGCGCTTTGTCATTATATTGTTACAATGTTCTAATTATATGAATCCTCTTGGATAACTGGATGTACAGTATCCTCCCATCTTAGCATACAATTGCAATGATGAGATGCTCCAATTTATTTGTAACCCTTGTCTTTTTCATCTTTTATTATATCATTTATTCACACTGTACCAGCTTCGATATCCATCTGGCTCTTGGTGTTGACTTAGAAAAGAATTATTTTAGTGATCATTATACAGGCACACTGCCTTGAGCCCTTGTAGCATTTATCACATTTCATTCTGGCTCCTCTTTGCTTTCTATTTCTCTATCACTTTTCCCTTGAACAGAGAGATTCCTTCCTCTTTCCTGCCAAAGAAATGAGGTATAATGTGAAGTTATTTAGTAATTTTGAGCTGAGTTTTGAAAGGATCTGCTCTCTTCAACATTTTATTGAGATGCTTCTATACTTGATCCAAATATTTGAGAAAGGAGTTGAAATGGTGAACATCATGGTGGATGTTGAGGGTTGGCTAATTTACTGTGTATGTCTGAGGTAGCTATTGTGCCTACCATGTAATTCTAATACTTTTTCCTCCTCCATGTCTGTTTGCAGGTAATCTTGACGAATCAGATTACCACATGGCTAAGTGATGGCCTTGCTGTACAGGCAGACCTCCTGTCTCCAGTTGATGACTCGTCCCTGTCTGAAGGTAAGCAATCCTTTTTATTACAGTTGAAACATAACTCTGATATACATCTCCTCAACCATTTGTAACATTCATGTTTAAGGAACAACCCCAATATAGTTATCAATATAAAATGAAACTAGAATTTAAAAAAAAAAATTCTAAAGTTTATTTAAAACCAGTAGTTTAATTGATCTTAAATCTACAGGTTGGATAGGCTAAGGAAAGTTAATTCATGATTGTGTTGATGGTTTGTTTTGAAATAAATAATGCAAAACACTCATTCAACTGGTGCATTACAGTTAAAAGCAAGGTTTTAGGTATTTTTGCCAATTTAGTATGAGTTGGTGATGTATTGACAGTAATTATCAGTCACTGAATTAAAAAACAGAAGGGTTTTTATTCTCTTTTGAATTTGTTGTATTCTCTTGCAATGTGGCAAAGTACAGGTGTAATGGAGACTAAGATTTAAAGAAACCTTAACCTTGCATCTGATAAGGATATCACAATTACAAACTTTGGGCAAAATGTTTCATTTAACCATATGTTCCTTCCCTTTCCTTTATTATCTATTTTATTTACAAAATACTATATAGTTTTGATTTTCTAGCATAGCGTCTTAGACCTGGAGTAACATGAATTCATACAATTTAAGAAATAAGCTTTGTTTCTAGATCTGTTACCTTAGGGGATGCAAGCAGTTCTTTGTGCAACAGGGATAAGCAATTATTTCACAGACAAATAGCTGAAAGACATAATTTTCTCATTCTGATGTAATAGAAGCCTAACATATCCTAGATCAAAAAGTAACAAAATAATGTAATTAACTTATTCATCAATTACTTACCTGTATTCCTCATTAGAAGACATTGATAAAAAACTATCTATAAATACTTACATACCATATATACATAGTTATTTGATTTTATACACTTCTGTTTGTCATGGCTGTGTGGCCCAAGAGGGGAGGACGGCTGCATCTGGTCATTGTCACTCATTTAGCACCACCCAGGAAGCACGTGTAGCTTAAGGAATGCGATGGATGCAGATGACTATTGAATTGGACATCCAGTTATGAGGCCACTGCTGTACCCCCCATAGAAGTTTTGTATATAATTCATGTGGATTATATAAGAAGTAAGAGATTGCTTCTCTTTTGTCATGTTCTCATCATATGCTAAATAAAATAATAATAGTTATTTGATGGGAACACAGAGACATCTATTTGGGAAGCAAACAGAAAATATACGGGTAACATTCATATAGAAAGTGGAAGATTGAAAGAAAGTAGCTATATACGGTATTGTAGATTGAGGGGTGGGAGGAGTCAACAAGGAATGGTTTAAATACAGGACAAATTATTACCGTTGAAAGAAAAGTGCTTTTCTCTGGTTAAAGAAGTGAGTTAAAAATGTGAAAGTGGCCTTAGGGTGGCTTGAATTGTACATCCCTGAGCTATAGTAACTTTTACTAATTCTTGTGAAAATGACATGTACAAAGAACTCTCAGAAGTTTTTGGTTCTGCGGAGTTGTTTAAGGAAAGCGTCTCAAGTATAAGATGTTCCAGCATGTTAGAAACCGAAAAACACTTGAAGGAATAACATTTTATACATGGTGGGTTCTTCCCTTCATTGTTACAGCTGCAAACTTTTAAGATCTATTATAGACTTGTTTGTACAAGCTCTCCATGAGTTTGTCTCTATATTCTGTAGTAAAATGATTCATGATTTGTTAAGTATTTAGCTATACTAGAAAGTGTTAAACAAATCATAAATGATTAAGTAACTTAGCAGTTGTACATCCATAAGAATTAGCTTCCTGCAATTAAATATGTTGAATTGATAATAAAATACCTGGAATTAGTTATTCAGTTTATTTCAGCTGACAGACTCCAATTTCTAAGAGCATCAGATTTCATCTTGCCTACCAATATCTATCTTGGTATTCCCCTCACTAAGTATTTTGTGTTGAGGGAACAGAGAGAAAAACTAAGTGGGTTGGTTTTAGGAGAGACAGTGGCATCACACACTTTAACTTCTGTAGGAGAATCCCAGAACCAGGGGCAGGATTAGATGAGAGTTGCCACCAATAAGAAGTCACCAGGCTCTGGTGTTCCAGAGGAAGCATGGAAAGCTGAGCCAATTAACTTCCAGGGTTGACTGACTTAAGCTGTGGTGAGCTCTCAAAGTTCCATGGCATCATAGGACATGGAAAGATAGTGCTGACCTTAGTACAGTGCTACTTGATAACTGGTAAATAATAAAAGTGTTTCAAAATGTTTTATCCGTGCATACCTAAAATAATTCCCTTAAAAAATAAACAACTGGGGGGAAGGGGATTATGTTTAAGATGTTAGTGGAATTATTCTCTGGTAAGTCAGGTCTCTGTGAAAGTGATCTTTCAGTTATGCACTCAGGTATGCTCTAGCATTGAAAAAGATTAAACATGTTTGTAACTTTCATAGTATCGCATAGCCTCTATACTGGAACTTAACAAAGAGTAATTTTAACGACTGAAATATTTCATTGGCTGAAATACAGTATGTTGTCCAGCTTATAACTATTTGAAGTTGGGTCAGATGACAGCATTTTGAAAAAAAAGAGAAGTAAATTTGGAATTCGGTATTCATATCTTAAGGTGAAGGTTGTGAATTCTAACTTCTTCTAAGTCACCATAGGAACCTGTGAAAGGGCAAGAGATTATGCATAAATAAACACTGCATCTCTCTTGTTACAGAGAAGTTCAGACATGCTGGCTGTCTGCACATGTGTAATCTATGCTTTGTTTATTTATTGGCATCACACTGACATTTTAGCTAAAAGATCCATTTTATTCCAAATAAAGCTGCCAGGAATTAGAAAAAAGATCGGGGGAAGGAGGGGCTGTTGAAAGAGATGACTAGAAGCGAATTGTGTCTGAGTGGCCTTAACTGATTACATACTTCCTCCAAGGCAGCTCTGTACAAATGGATAAATGCTTACCTGACTACCAGAGGATAAGCAGTGCCTACTCTAATCTCCATTTTCCAACATTCTTTTTGTTTTGAAACAATAATATATAACTACTTGGACTTCATTTGCTTTTCCTACTCCTTTCAGTTTTCTGAATCTACTTTTTCTGATCCTCATGTAGCCCACACTATTTCACCAGCATTTAATTCCCCTGGTGTCTTTGTGCTCAGTATTTAGGTTTAATGTATTAAAAATAGTATACTGTCCACATCCTAGGCATTGGAATATTAATTAGTTTTCCTACAATATTTCAGTGGTTAGTCTACTTTTATCACCTACTGTTACCTATCAAATCAAAACACAGAACATAAATAAATTGTTTGGAAAACAATCTTATTGATGCATTTGTTTTTATACTTATATACAAGCTGAGACATGTTAGAAATAGAATACATAATATCCATTCTTAACATATGTTATGGAGGCTAATGTGCAATTTCTATGCATGGGGAAATCTTTATTAAAAATGGAGGAAATGGTTTGGTTTTTATTTTTCTTTAATTGTAAACAATTACAGAGTTGCAAGGAAACTTAAGTATTCAATTAAACCTTGAGGGGCAGGATTTACTATGTCTGACTGCTCTATGTGTTTCCCAGATGCTTGTTTAATTGTCATTTTATTTTTCCACCTCCTTAAGAAAATCTGTCTTATATTATAGCTCATGATTAGTTACTGTTGTTGTTCAAATACATTAAAATGTCAACTATTTCTCTCATTAGGAGAGGGAAAGGATCAAGCTAGTCCTTTTCAAATATATATTACTCATTTCTTGTGCTATTGATTACCATAGATTAAATAACCATTAATGCTGCCTGCCAATGAGTGGAGGGTAAGAAAAAGACCATCATTTGGCCTGAGGGGAGAGAGACAGAGAGCCATTGTGTGCATCCTGAGCCTTAAGGAACATATTGTGAAGTGAGAAAGATACTGGCAGTAAGATTGGTCATTAAGAAGCACTTGGATGCAAGGATATCTCATTTATTTTTCTATTTACATGACTATGAGAGGAGATTGGAGTGCAAAGGAATGAAGATGGATGGTTGGGGCCTGATTTTAAGAGATACATCAGGAAAATTGGGGAGAAACAAGCATAAAGAATAGCTTGGCGGATAAGGAGGGAAATGCATCCTGGATGACAATGGCTAGCCTTTTTTCATTTTGGACTTAAGTGATTGTACTGTGACAGTTGTGATGGTAGCCTCTCCAGCTAAAATTTCTGCTCTTCAGTGCTAGGTCAATTGTTGTCACAACATCTGTTATCCAGTATTTAATCCAGGATAAAGGTACTGCTCTGGCTTGTGTCATAAAGGCCTGATGTAAGGTGGTGGTGCAGGGGAAGGGTGGTGGTACTGGTGAATTTATATTGATTTCTTCAGTTCTTTTTCCTAGAACTGGAACAGTAAAGGGAAATGATATAATAGCACACTAAAATCAGAGGGTAGAGTGGTCTGTGGGTAGACCATCTCACCAGCAGATGCTGAAAGTATATCAATTTTGAGTACTTGTTGCTGCATTTCAGTAGCTGTGACAGTACAGGTAGTCCTCAACTTACAACCACAATTTAGCCCAAAATTTATGTTGTTAAGCGAGACAGGTGTTAAGTGAGTTTTGTCCCATTTTATGACCTTTCTTGCCACAGTTCAGTGAATCATTGCAGTTGTTAAGGTAGCAACATGATTGTTAAATGAATTCTAGCTTCCTCCTTGACTTTGCATGTCAGAAGGTCACAGAAGACGATTACATGACCTTAAGATACTGCAACTGTCATAAATATGAGTCACTTGCTAAGCTTCTGAATTTTGATCACGTGACTAGGGATGCTGCAATGGGCGTAAGTGTGAAAAAGGGTCATAAGTCATTTTTTTCAGTGCTGTTGTAATTTTGAACGGTCACTAAACAAACTGTTGTGAATCGAGGATTATCTATATGTGAAAAGTCAGCATATCGTTCAGCCTGCTGTCCTTATAATTCTGAATTATTTTGATGCAGTTTTGACCTGAAGCTGTATCTTG